TATTGCTGGAATATTGCTAAAAGCGGCGTAAAACCATACTCACTCACTAACTGTACAGCCCAGACCTAGCCTCCAGTGACTATTTCCTGTTTCGGCAAATGAAATCTGCCCTACGTGGAAGACGCTTCTAGGATGACGAGGACATAAAGGCTGCCACAGAGGCGTGGTTAGAGGGCCAATCTGCGGATTTCTATAAAAGTGGTTTTAAAAGCTTGAAGGACAAATGGAATAAGTGTATTGCGGTGAATGAAGATTGTATTGAAAAATAAAAGTGCAAATCATATTTTGCGACTTGGTCTTATATTGAAGTTGCTAAACTTATTGAACGCCCCTCGTACACATGCGCGGAGAGTGGTTGTCATGTTCTCTTAAAACATCTACAAGGGCAGGCATTATTAAATACAGACAATATACATTTCAACAGGTCTACACCGCTTTTAGATATCGGGGAATATAGGGAATGGAACCCAAGCCTTCGTTGTGACGGGGGAACGCATTAACCAATAGGCTACCCCACCTTCCCTTCCTTTTCTCACTGACGGGAACCATGTCGTGGAAATGTACATACGTGTACCAAACGGAAATGGACACTATGAGCATTTTTACACATTAAACAGCATTGTCTCCACAGTATGCTTAATCACCTGTGGTAAGTAAAATCACCTGATCTATTTCTAATCACCTGATGTATGTCTAATCACCCCATGTACCTCTAATCACCTCATGAACCTCTAATCACCTCATGTAACTCTAATCACCCCATGAACCTCTAATCACCTCATGTACCTCTAATCACCTCATGTACCTCTAATCACCCCATGAACCTCTAATCACCTCATGAACCTCTAATCACCCCATGAACCTCTAATCACCCCATGTACCTCTAATCACCTCATGTACCTCTAATCAACCCGATGTACGTCAAATCACCTCATGTAAGTCTAATCACCTGATGTATGTCGAATCACCTGATGCTCGTCTTTTCGCCTGATAAATGTCGAATCACCTGACGTAGGTAGAATCACCTGATGTAAGTCTAATCACCTTATATATGCCCAATCACCTGCTCGTCTTCTCGCCTGATGTACAAATATATCCCTCTGAAGCAATCCCAGGGTATGTATATACATGCTGGTGTAATATATATATATACCTACATGTTACGTAACACCGGAGCCACCTGGCTCGTCTCAGACCCCGGAACCTATGCTTGTGAGAAGTCACTTATTGGGTCAGGTGGTCTGGCGACTTGGTGGTGACTTGGATGCTGGCGTGTTATCGTACCCCATTGGCGTGGATCGTTACTCATAATATCAATCACTGGATTGTCAGTTCCAGACTCGATTATTTACAGACAAGTGTCATTTTGCTGGAATATGGCTGAGTGCGGCGATAAACAACAAACAAACAAACACAAAACAACAGACAATTGTTAGTTTCAATGGATTCAGTTATTGCATCGATCGAGACTCCTGAATCTAGATCTAGAGATTAACACATTACGAGACTCCTGAATCTAGATCTAGAGATTAACACATTACGAGACTCCTGAATCTAGATCTAGAGATTAACACATTAGGTGACTCCTGAATCTAGATCTAGAGATTAACACATTACGAGACTCCTGAATCTAGATCTAGCTTTAGCGATTAACACATTACGAGACTCGTGAATGTAGACCTAGAGATTAACGCATTACGAGACTCCAGAATCTAGATCCAGAGATTAACACATTAGGTGACTCCTGAATATGGTAAGCACTATCCCCATTTGTTATCACTTTATCCACAACTTAATAGAATTTTTGAAATATCTACCATATTTATTTTCTTTTGACGAATGTCCAACACACCACTTATACTTAATAAGAGATCGTTACAAGATCAGTATCTGATTCTCAAGAAAGTTATGATATTATGCAAAGTAGCATATGAAGCCACTGAAGGGGAAGTTAATGGCAAAATGACATGACATGTCATGTGATAACCGATTTTTGTTACTGTATTTCTATGTGAGTATATCACTTTGCACACACAAACAGAGGTGTTTCGTTAAAGACTTGGAACAGTATATTGGTACATCATATGACACTTTGTCTGATCACAACGAGGCAGTTTCTCGAATACAGTCAGCAAAACGAGACCGAAATGTTATGAATTGAATGTCATGAAATGAATCTTATGAATTGAACGTTGAGAAATGAATGTTATAAATTGAATCTTTTAAAATCTTAAGCAGTGGGCACAGCTAATGACATAATAATGCTGCAATTATTATGTTTTGTTTTATCAAAGATGGCGGACGTTTCCGAGAGAAAACGTATATGACGAACAACATATATAACAAAATGATTTCTCAAGTCACTTGTAGTTTGCCATATCCATGTTCTACTGAAGTATCTAGATGTCTATGTAAAGACAACTTGTATATACTGATGTGCATGCATTGTGAGTCTGGTGCAGACAAACCAAACATCATTTTCGTCGCGAATATGGGATTCAAACCCACTATGCTCTGATCCTTGTAGGAATAAGGGTCGTTATCCTGGACGTCCCTGTCACCGTGACTCCGCTACATATTATCCTGATGGTGATAGTTAATAACGTGCAACTATTCCCTGCAATAACAATAAACCACATAAAATCACAACATGCAGTGTCCATTACTATGCGTCGTCAGTATTGTAAATATACTGGTTAGGATTGGTCTTCAGCCACCCATGCTCGCCGTAAGAGGCCACGAATGGGATCGGGTGGTCAGACTCACTGACTTGGTTGGACAATGTCATCGTATCCCAGTTGCGTAGATCGATTCTCATGATGTTAAAGACTGGATTGTCTGCCATCATATGGCTTTAATATTGATGGGTGCGCCGTTAAATAAAAAACAAACAAACAAACAAACAGAGGAATCCATCTTCGTCTCGGCGTGGCATGTATTCGGGGTACTTGGCACAGCAAGAACACAACACAACGTGTCTCCGATGTTGTTTGTAAATCAGCGTTGTTTTTGCATGAAATACACACCCTGTAAATTTACACACGTGCAAAATAGATATTTGAGTGACCTGTTACAGTGTAAATAGTGAGTAACATAGAGTAAACTGCCGGGCAAAATAAAGTATACACTTGAAAATTGGATTTAACCAAATTAAGCAAAACGATACTAGGCTGAAAACAATCGCCGAAACACTGTAAACCTAAGGTTCAAAGCACAAAATACATAACCTAGTTGGAATAACCATTTCTTGTTTGTTTCATTTTAGACACAATCAGACATGGGTGTAAACTTTCTTTTGCCCGTCAGTTTACATGGTAGATCAGTAACAAGGCAGACTTGCACCACATGTTACACGTGTCAAAGATCAAGAAAATATTACAAGCCCTTCTCAACTGTTTCTCAAGACAATACCATAAGCAATGGGAGTGTGAGGTGAATGAACAGAATTCTGTGAAACACTAGCGCTTTTTAATTGACTCCATAATTATTTTGCAAGAATAATTTGATGATGACTATAATACTATGTTCTTTAAATACATATTACCTATTATTGATTATCATTATTTATCATCATTATCAATGTTTCGATATAATTTATGTCATTAGCAAGAGACATGAGAAATCACAATTATAATTTTAATAATTGTTCATTTTAAAATATCTACTGTACAATTGTCATTGATATAAACTCATTTGCTAGATATTGTCTCTTGTTACAAGCGGAGTATCCTTAAATACTATATGGTTAAGGAAGTGAATATTGTTCGGGCTCCTAAAACAAGCATTGAATATGAATTGGCTTATGGAGTATAGAATGGCACCTGTCCCATCTCGATCCTATACAACAAGCATGGGTCTAAACTGAATTCCTACAACAAGCATGGGTCTCAACTGGATCCTTCATCAAGCATGGGTCTCAACTGGATCCTATACAATAAACATGGGTTTAAACTGACACCTACAACAAGCATGGGTCTCAACTGGATCCTACAACAAGCAAGGGGTCTCAACTGGCTCCTACAACAAGCACGGAGTCTAAAACCAGATCCTATACAACAAGCATGGGTCTCAACTGGATCCTACAACAAGCATAGGTCTCAACTGGCTCCTACAACAAGCATGGGGTCTATACTGAATCCTATACAATAAACATGGGTCTAAACTGGCTCCTACAAGAAGCATGGGTCTAAACTGGCTCCTACAACAAGTATGGGTCTAAACAGACGCCTACAACAAGCCAGGGTTCTAAACTGGCTCCTACAACAAGCATGGGTCTCAACTGGCTCCTACAACAAGCATGGGGTCTATACTGAATCCTATACAATAAACATGGGTCTAAACTGGCTCCTACAACAAGCATGGGTCTAAACTGGCTCCTACAACAAGCATGGGGTCTATACTGAATCCTATACAATAAACATGGGTCTAAACTGGCTCCTACAACAAGCATGGGTCTCAACTGGCTCCTACAACAAGCATGGGGTCTATACTGAATCCTATACAATAAACATAGGTCTAAACTGGCTCCTACAACAAGCATGGGTCTCAACTGGCTCCTACAACAAGCATGGGGTCTATACTGAATCCTATACAATAAACATGGGTCTAAACTGGCTCCTACAAGAAGCATGGGTCTAAACTGGCTCCTACAACAAGCATGGGGTCTATACTGAATCCTATACAATAAACATGGGTCTAAACTGGCTCCTACAACAAGCATGGGTCTCAACTGGCTCCTACAACAAGCATGGGGTCTATACTGAATCCTATACAATAAGCATAGGTCTAAACTGGCTCCTACAAGAAGCATTGGTCTAAACTGGCTCCTACTCGTACAAGAAGTCCAAATAGGCACCTTCAACCAATTTAGAGTCTAAACTGGCTTCTTTCTCAAGGGTCATTTGATCAGAATCTCACAAATTGTTTCATCTGAACAGCCCCCCACAGCGAGAGCCTCCTTGGGACACTCATATATGTCACTCTCCCCACTGTGGTGCATCCGTGGCCAAGCGAGGGTCGGAGAAGGAACATGGAGACACCCGTAGCTTCAAGTCCCCGGCGGTGGGCAGACAAACTCAAGTCCACAGTCTACAGGAAGAAATTCCTCTATACAGCATGTCTATTGTTTGGGAACTTTATGTCGGTGAGTTGTATGTGTTATGACTGTATTTGTAGGTATTATGATTGTACTTGTAAGTGTTATGACTGTATTTGTAGGTATTATGACTGTACTTGTAAGTGTTATGACTGTATTTGTAGGTGATATGATTGTATTTGTAAGAATTATGACTGTATTTGTAGGTGATATGACTGTATTTGTAAGTGTTATGACTGTACTTGTAAGTGTTATGACTGTATTTGTAGGTGATATGATTGTATTTGTAAGAATTATGACTGTATTTGTAGGTGATATGATTGTATTTGTAAGAATTATGACTGTATTTGTAGGTGTTATGACTGTATTTGTAAGTGTTATGACTGTACTTGTAAGTGTTATGACTGTATTTGTAGGTGATATGATTGTATTTGTAAGAATTATGACTGTATTTGTAGGTGATATGACTGTATTTGTAAGTGTTATGACTGTATTTGTAGGTGTTATGACTGTATTTGTAAGTGATATGACTGTACTTGTAAGTGATATGACTGTACTTGTAAGTGATATGACTGTACTTGTAAGTGATATGACTGTACTTGTAAGTGATATGACTGTACTTGTAAGTGATATGACTGTACTTGTAAGTGTTATGACTGTACTTGTAAGTGTTATGACTGTACTTGTAAGTGTTATGACTGTATTTGTAGGTGATATGATTGTATTTGTAAGAATTATGACTGTATTTGTAGGTGTTATGACTGTATTTGTAAGTGTTATGACTGTATTTGTAAGTGTTATGACTGTACTTGTAAGTGTTATGACTGTACTTGTAAGTGATATGACTGTACTTGTAAGTGATATGACTGTACTTGTAAGTGTTATGACTGTACTTGTAAGTGTTATGACTGTATTTGTAGGTGATATGATTGTATTTGTAAGAATTATGACTGTATTTGTAGGTGTTATGACTGTATTTGTAAGTGTTATGACTGTATTTGTAAGTGTTATGACTGTATTTGTAGGTGATATGACTGTATTTGTAAGTGTTATGACTATAATTGTAGGTGATATGTCTGTATTTGTAAGTGCTATGACTGTATTTGTAAGTGTTATGACTGTATTTGTAAGTGTTATGACTGTATTTGTAAGTGTTATGACTGTATTTGTAAGTGTTATGACTGTATGTGTAGGTGATATGACTGTATTTGTAGGTGATATGACTGTATTTCTAGGTATTATGACTGTATTTGTAAGTGTTATGACTATAATTGTAGGTAATATGACTGTATTTGTAAGTGTTATGACTGTATTTGTAGGTGATATGACTGTATTTGTAAGTGTTATGACTGTACTTGTAAGTGTTATGACCGTATTTGTAGGTGATATGACTGTATTTGTAAGTGTTATGACTGTATTTGTAGGTGTTATGACTGTATTTGTAGGTGATATGACTGTATTTGTAAGTGTTATGACTGTATTTGTAAGTGTTATGACTGTATTTGTAAGTGTTATGACTGTATTTGTAAGTGTTATGACTGTATGTGTAGGTGATATGACTGTATTTGTAGGTGATATGACTGTATTTGTAGGTGATATGACTGTATTTGTAAGTGTTATGACTATAATTGTAGGTAATATGACTGTATTTGTAAGTGTTATGACTGTATTTGTAAGTGTTATGACTATTTGTAAGTGATATGACTGTATTTGTAAGTGTTATGACTGTATTTGTAAGTGATATGACTGTATTTGTAAGTGTTAGGACTGTATTTGTAGGTGTTATGACCGTATTTGTAGGTGATATGACTGTATTTGTAAGTGTTATGACTGTATTTGTAGGTGTTATGACTGTATTTGTAGGTGATATGACTGTATTTGTAAGTGTTATGACCGTATTTGTAGGTGATATGACTGTATTTTTAGGTGTTATGACTGTATTTGTAGGTGTTATGACTGTAATTGTAGGTAATATGACTGTATTTGTAAGTGATATGACTGTATTTGTAAGTGATATGACTGTACTTGTAAGTGTTATGACTGTACTTGTAAGTTTTATGACTGTATTTGTAAGTGCTATGACTGTATTTGTAGGTGATATGATTGTATTTGTAGGCGTTATGACTATGTGTAGGTGTTATGACTGTATTTGTAGGTGTTATGGCTGTATTGGTAGGTGATATGACTGTATTTGAAGATGTCATGACTGTATTTGTAAGTGTTATGACTATAATTGTAGGTAATATGACTGTATTTGTAAGTGATATGACTGTATTTGTAAGTGATATGACTGTACTTGTAAGTGTTATGACTGTACTTGTAAGTTTTATGACTGTATTTGTAAGTGCTATGACTGTATTTGTAGGTGATATGGCTGTATTTGTAGGTGTTATAACTATGTGTAGGTGTTATGACTATTTGTAGGTGTCATGAATGTATGTATAGGTGTTATGTTGGTATTTGTAGTGAGTGAGTGCGTATGGTTTTACGCCGCCTTTAGCAATATAACAGCATCACACGGCGGGGTACGATCAAGCCCCTCTATCATGTCGCTTAAGATACTGTGTTGTGCCAAAGCCGGGCATCCAAAGACAATTTGTTGGACAGTCTCATTAAATTCATTGTATAATCTACATTTAATATTCACAATTTGGTGCAAAATCACACATTGACGGCTGAGAGTGGGAAGTGACTGGTCCTGAGCAGCAAACAGAAAACCTTCTGTTTCACTTTTCTGACCTCACGACTTCATCCAACAGAAGGACTCTGCAGGGTTGTCGGCCCTTCTCAACACACTGCAAATAAACTCGATGCAATGGTCGTTCAGATAGCATCTCCTTGAAAAACTGAGTCTAGGCTGATTTGATATGGCACTTCGCTTGGTTGACACTCATTTCTGTACCGTCCAGCAGTACAGAACCATCAACAAAATCAACACTTACATTAAGATAATGTCCTGCGTCCTTGGCTCGCAATAGAAAACTATGGAATGCCTTGTTTTCATCTTGAGTCCTGACATGCTTCACGAGAGGATCATCAGACAAATAAATGGGTGCAAAAATGCACAACACAATTATATCATGAAAAGCCTCCCCGTTAATCAAACCACGACCTCCCATTATAACTGGTAAATATAAGCGATTGAGTGAAGAGCGAAGGTGGTGGTGTCTTCGTGTGAGGGCGTGATTACTATTTGTGGTGGTGGTAGTAGTAGTAGTAGTAGTAGTAGTAGTAGTAGTAGTAGTAGTAGTAGTAGTAGTGGTAGTTGTTGTAGTAGTAGTAGTAGAAGTAGTAGTAGTTGTTGTTGTTCTTGTTGTTGTTGTTGTAGTAGTAGTAATTTGGTTGTTGTTGTTGTTGTTGATGACGTTGTTGTCAACATACACAAATACTAGGCAAGTTCATACCACATTCACCGTTACATGTAGAAAACAAGACATGTCTGTGAATATGGTTTATATACTTTACGTCCTTTAATTTACTTTAATGTATACGGCTTAGGCTTTGTCAATATAGGCCATGTAATCGAAAACATCTTCTTCCCCGAGTAAACATGTGTACAAGTGTAGTGTTGGTTGTGTTATGTTGTCACACGAAGTAAGTTCACTTCTTGAATTACTTCGCCTATGGACTGCAGCCCGACGTAGGCAGTGTAGAGTAATTAGTCTCTGTGACTCAGATCTACGGCAGGGGTGACATTTAATTATCTGGTAGATTGTTGATATTTGATACCTCAAACATGACATCTCATACACAGTGCTGTTATTTGAAGCACTGAATGCCACAGATGGCGTGATACACAGATCAACAACGCTATAGTCTGAAGGATATTTATCAATTATATAATAAATGTAAGTCAACACCAGAGAATAACCAGTCTCGATTGTCTGCAGAAACAATCCATTGGGCGTAAAAGGCAAAATAGAGGTGACAATAATATAAATGGATCACTGAAAATCAGTAATGACACCATGTGTTCGTGAAAAGAGTAATAACGTCCTCCCCTCCCGATGGTACCAGCCACTAAACCGCCTCCGTGGTCTAGTGGTAGCGCGTCCGCCCGGAGAGCTGAAGGTCCGGGGTTCGATCCCCGGCCGCGTCATACCAACAGACGTTGAAAGATGGTACTTGTTGTTACCCTGTCTGGCGCTTGGCATTAAGGGGCTAAAACAAACACTGGTCGGAGTCGGTATACTGTGTCTGAGTGGGGTATTCATGTTAAACTGCGGCATGGTATCTCAGTGTGCTAGCACTATATTATCGACATCAGTCCGGACTAGTACAAGCAGCCACACACACACACACACACACACACACACACACACACACACATACACACACACACACACACACACACACACACACACACACACACACACACACACATACGTGCATGCACGTCGCTGTAAAGTGCCACATATGACATCTTTGACTGTTTGATAGTCAGATGTCCGAACCATGAACACGAGGTTGAGGGAACGCATCCATGACATCTTGTTCCTCGAAACATACAAGCAATGTGAGGAAATATTTAACCCCAGCCACGCCATTGACAGAAAGACATTTAAATCAGAAGACTAAATAATCAGCTGATTCACTATGTAGTACATGATTTCATGTAATATGCCGGGCAAAGAAGGAATACACCCATGTTTGATGCTGACTAAAACCGAAACAAACAAGCAATGCTTATTCGATGGTGGTGCATTTGATACGGTCGTCATAGTTTTGTTTTGGACCTGAAGGTTGCCGTGTTTTGGTCACCTATTAACGTTTTGATGTTTGTAATATTTTGGTCAAATCAAATTTCCAAGTGTGTACTTCATTTTGCCCGGCAACCTTCGGGGTGTGGAAAGATGGAGTTCGCGGCGAGGTGGTTAAACTGGCAACTCCTTTCACCTTGGTATACCGTGAACCCCGTCAGACACCCCCAAGGTTCATTCTTACTGACAATCACACCTTTTGCAAGCTACAAAGGAACATCAGTCTATGTCCACGATACAGAAATATCAAAATTCGAACGATTTCAATGATACGGTACCGTCTTGATTAACGGGTTTCCACTGTACGCCTATTACTATAGTCAAGTATGTATGGCTGCTTGTACTAGTCCGGACTGATGCCGATTTATAGTGCTAGCTCACCGAGATACAATGCTACAGTTTAACACGAATACCCCACTCAGACACAGTATACTCCGAGCCGACCAGTCCTTGTTTTAGCCCCTGAATGCCGAGCGCCAGACAGGGTAACAACACGTACCCTGTTTTAACATCTTTTTGGTATGACGCGGCCGGGGATCGAACCCCGGACCTTCCGCTCTCCGGGTGGACGCTCTACCTCATTTCAATGATACGGTATCCGCTTGATTCACGGGTTTCCACTGTACGCCTATTACAGTAGTCAAGTATGTCAAGCCTGTACACACTCCAATACATCAATGTCACAGTAGATACTTTACATCTCGTGTACTTTAACCAGGGCTGGATCAACGGACAGCGAGGGCCCTCACTTCTGGATCTGCAGCTCATCACAGGAACGGACATGTCGCAGGGCTCAGCCTTCTTCACTGCCGCCGCGGTCGGGTCTCTGGTCGGAGCTGTTGCTGGCGGCGCCATCTACGACCGCTGCAACAAGTACATGTCCCTCTTCATCTCCATGGCTGGCCACGGACTGACGGTGGCGGTGATCCCGCTGTGCTCCGCGTACTGGCTCATGATTGCTGTCTTTGTAGCTCATGAGTTCTTTCTGGGGATATTCAAAACAGGTTTGTACCCTTTCGAAGAGCGTCATACGACTCTTGCTCAAAAGTTCTTTGATCAAGGTTACAGCATTCAAGGCATCAGTAAAGCTTTCAAAACGTTTATTGTAGACATGTTGAGAACATTTCCAAAATTTGACTCTTAAGTGACAAAAAATATGTCCGATGCAATTCCTTATAATTTGACTTGTATCATGTGTTCCCGTGTTGTTTTCAGGTGAACAATTGACTGGTATTTGCATGTGTTTGGGGCGGGTGCCACAGATGGGACAGGATAAGCTGACCTTTTCGCGAACACCTGGTATCATCACGTCTATTTAATAGTGTTTCATAAACCCATGCTCATGATATAGTCGAGATCGTACAATCGATTCTGCTTTTAGCAAAGATTTCTATTGAATATGGTAGGGGCTTTGTCGCCTTTATTTGTCAGTGACCAGTGGTGTAGTGAGCGAGCTCTCCCTGGAGATATTCAAAACAGGTTTGTCCTCTGCCCTTGTCTGTCAGTGACCAGTGGTGTAAGTCACCGCAGTTCAATATGCCTGAGATTAATCCCCTGGCCTTGCCAGGATGCGCGGATTGTTATTTCAATCTCAAGAGTCAGTTGGTTTGTCAGCACGATATCCGTCCCCGTATATATTTATATTGTGTGTTGTTTAACGCCGCACTCAGCAATATAACGCGAATATGACGGCCATTTGTAAATAATCGAATCCGTACCAGACAATCCAGTGATTGACATCATGATCATCGATCAACGCAATTGGGATCGATGACATGCATCAACCAAGTCAGCGAGCCTGACGACCCGATCCCGTTAGTCGCCTCTCGCGGCAAGCATTGGTTTCTGAAGTCCAATTATAACACGGAATCTTCACGGGATTGCCACTTCCTTTAAATACTGCAATATGTTTTCGTAATTCATCAGTGTTGTGTCCTAGCTTTAAAAATGGTGATATATTTTCTTTACAATTAAGTATGGCCTTGTGTTAGAAATTTATGTAATACTACATATTGCAAAAGTGAGGGATATTTTTTAGCATATACTGTTTTGTGAATTGATAACGTGAAATGTCATTCAGCACGAGCAAAGTTTATTTCTATGAAGATTTGCAGAGACCAGCATCAACCATGACGACTTCAAACGTAGACTGTTGCTAACATAATTTTAATAGCAATAGCGCTACTGTGCTAAAATAAAGTGCTTAGATTTACTGTATACACTACACTCAATGTCAAGACAGAAGTCTGGGCTACAAATATATACTGTGGAGCAAAAATAACTATACATCTGTTGATTTTATGACATGTTTGACTTCAGTTGAACATATCGTAAATTTGCGATATTATATTCCAAATTTAAACTGTAATAGCGCTTAGTCAGCATTCATAAAGTACTTCTACATGGTTTTATTGATTATAATATAATTTGATTTATAACTTTTAAAAATTGAAAGAGGAACATTTCGCACAATACGCAACTGTTGATAGGTATCTTTGACATCTTACCTCTGAATAATCTGTTATTTCGGCATAAATTCACATTTCAAACCTTGTAGGGATCATATGATTGCAAATTCATTTCTTACCCCCGTCTTCATTGAGCCAATTTATTTTTACACAAAAGTACCCAGCCACAGGTTACTTTTCACGGACGAATGCAGGACTGAGTCATGGTAAAATAGACATAATCAAATTCAACAACAGTTTTTTCAATTTTCCATTACATAAAAACCACACTCGGAATAATTTCTTTTGCGCCTCAGTTTACATCAGTGATGGTAATGTTTGCAAACATACACAAACATATCAATCAAAAATTGGTAGAATTGCAAAACCTTCACTAATCACCATTTATATCTGAGCAACTTACGATTATACTTATTGATATCTTGTTATCTTGTGTCCAATCTAAGTCATTTTGCACGATGTAGGAAAACCCATTTGGCGCCTCCAGTCGATTGTAACGATGACATGAGAGTGAGTGAGTGAGTTTGGTTTAACACCGCTTTGAACAGTATTCCAGTTTTATCACGGGGTGTCAGCTTAATGTGGGAGGAAAGCCCGAAGTGATGCAGGTCTCAGACGTTTACCACTTCGGTGAAACCCACCAGCACGGGTATGGTGCTGACAAAATTAGAAACATAATCGGGGCGAAGCGGGATTCGAACTCACAATCATAAGTTTTGGGCGTGCCCAAGGGACGCAACTCTGCACAGCGAATCGCGGCGCCTTAGACGACTGGGCCACCCGTGCCCCCCGATGACATAAGAAAACAAATATATTCGTACTCGTGCAATAGTCTAGTTACCTTGCAGCATTAATACTGATCTGAAATAGAGCTATTGAAATACTATTTTAATAATACATTGTCTTGCAGGCAGTAACGTGGAGCTTCTCAGAGTGTGGGGAGTTGAGAGCAAGCCGTACATGCAGGCCTTCCATTTCTTATGGTCACTAGGGGGAATTGTCTCCCCTTTTGTCCTTGAACCCTTCCTAGCTGTCGGGAGGGAAGTGGTTCAAAACGCAACGGCTGCCAATAACTCAGATACAGGAGGTCTTCTTAATGCATCGGTCATACCACCTCAGGAGCCGTTGGAAACAAGCATCATATGGCCATTCCTGATGACAGGGTTAATGACAATACTGTCCTCACTTCCCTTCTTGGTTGTCTTCTTCTTTGCCAGAAAGGAGGGACATGAGGAGGTTACTAAGGCATTGGATGGTAAAAGACAAGGGAAAAAGTTATCCCGGAAGTTACTTGTTCTCACGCTTGGGCTTCTGGGTATATTTTATTTCTTCTTAGACGAAGTTGAGGACTCGTCCGTGTCCTTCCTGGCCTCATACGTGGTCAAACAGTTCAAGTGGACAAAGATCATGGGAGCAAGAATTACCTCCACGTTCTGGGCTGCGTATGCATTTGGTCGTCTTGCCGCCATCTTCTTCATCAGCTACGTCTCGCATATGAAGATATGTGGCCTCTTCTTCATCTTTTTGATCGTGGCGCAGGTGGGGATGATCCTGTCTGGAATGTTTCTCTCTGATGTTGGCATATGGATCACTACTTGTGCTGTCGGGTTTTCAATCTCGATAAGTTTCCCCGCCATGCTGACGTGGATAGAGAAGGACTTTGTTCAACTGTCAGGAAAAATTATGTCTGTCATCTTCGTATCCGTTGGCCTGGGTGGAATGGTCAACCCTCAGATCATTGGCTATCTGATGCAAGAGGCTACCCCTCTATGGTACAACTATGTTCTGACTATAGAGAGTGTTCTGTTGTTCCTTAGTTTCCTAGTGCTGGTGTGGCTGGTTAAGAAAGTCCTTAGCATTTTCCATGCATCGCAAGCTGAAACCCCTGACAAGAAGTAACGGAACTTACACTGATGTCCTAGCGATCAACCATTTGCTATTAGGTGGCGAGTGGGGGTGGGGGATGATTGTCTTTTTTTAAATATATAGTTCCAAAAAATAAGGCATAAATATTTTGCCTCATGTTTTCCACACAAACAAAATGTTCATTGAATTAACTGGATGCGCTGACAAACCTATGTTGTGAAAACTACAAGTAGTTGTTCGGCTCTTTTGACGTTATTAAGTGCTCGGTCTCATGAGGAAGATGAATAGAAGAATTAGAGTATATGCCTTGGTTACAACAATAAAGGAACAAACCTATTTTAACAGCAAATCAGCTAATGTGTCGAAGTCGAGCCTGATGTACTTGGTGGCTTTTATTGAACAACACTGAAACAGGTATAGGCTATCGACGAGATGAAGGTTCCCGTGCATATGGATAACAGCCATGCTATACAGAGATATTAAACAGAAGAACTATTTGTGTAAGAACTTCGATTAATTCAGCATAGTTTGCATAGAAAAATCATACTATGTGATATCCGAAACTGCTCATTCTCTGTGTTGACGTTATATATATATATTTATATTTACATACAGGCCACACTATTGGCAATGTCCAGAAGAATCGATATTAAGGTCATGCGCTTTTTGTACATTCAACATTGATAATCTGATATCGTTCAATAATAGCCAATTCCCTTCTACTGATTTACCCACCTGAACTTAAAATAAAAAACACACCAGTAAAACCGCCTCATCTGTTTCATATTTAGATCTATGCATAAAGATTCTGAGTGATAGGAAACTCACCACAATAATGTATGACAAAAGGAGTGACTTCATGTTGTAGTTTATCAACTTTCCCTATACGTCGAGCAATATTCCTGCAGTTCCGGTGTCTTTGGTGTCTACATTTCACAACCTTTGAGGTACATTCGAACATGCTCTATAAACGACGATCTCATAGAGTGTCATACGACTTGGGCTTAAAAGTTCTTTGATCAGGGTTACAACATTCAAGTCATCGGTAAAGCTTTCAAAACGTTTCGAGAGCTCCATTATATACATGTGGACATTTCCATATTTGAGTCACAAAAATTAAGTCCTTTGCAATGCTCTGTTTTGACATGTAAGCATATGTTCCCGATTTTTTTTCAGGTGATGAGTTTACCTGCCTTTGCATGTGTTTGTGATTAGTGCCATTAGTGAGGCAGGATATTGCAAACTTATCACAAACACCTGGTATCATAATTATTCGATAGTGATCAACAAACACATGGTAATAATATAGTCGGAATCGTACAATGGACTCTGCTTGGAGCAGGCATTTTCTTGGTTGGTTTGTTGTTTAACGCCGCACTCAGCAATATTCCGTGGCCACCTATATGACGGCGGTCTGTAAATAATCGAGTCTGGACCAGACAATCCAGGGATTGACATCATGAGCATCGATCCACGCAATTCGAATACGATGACATGCATCAACTAAGTCAGCGAGCGTGACCACCCGATCCCGTTAGTCGCCTCTTACGACAAGCATAGTCGCCTTTTACGGCAAGCATGGGTTGCTGAAGATATATTCTACCCCGGATCTTCGCGATCGCTTGGAGCAGGCATTTCTTATGATTATGGAATGTTCTTTGTCGCCTTTATGTTATTGCAGTGTCCAGCAGACTCCATTTATGTGGTGCGCTGTACATCGATCAACACAGTTTGTCGTGTCCAGTAGAATCCATACACAAGTGATGCTCTTCACGCGCATTTAACCCGAGGCCAGTTTTGAGTGAGTGAGTTGGGTTTAATGACACTTATAACATTTGTATCACGGGGTGGCAACAAACTGTACGAAAGACCCATTTGAAGTAAAAATCCACTTCGTGAAATCCACGAGCAGGCATATGGTGCTGACCAACCTGGAGTCGTAATCAGGGTTAAGCTAGGATTCGAACCCACGATCAAATGATTCTCCACACTTAAGGGACATAACTCAATTCCAGTGAACGAACACGTTTACATGACTTGTCCGTCCGTGCTTCCTGGGACAAAAAGAGAAATCGTATTCAGAGTCTGAAATAGAGGATTTAGACTCTCAAATAGGATTTGGGAGTCTCAAATAGAAGATTCAGGAGTCTCAAATAGAGGATTCATGGGTCTCAAATAGAAGATTCAGGAGTCTCAAATAGAGGATTCAGGAGTCCCAAATAGAGGATTCATGGGTCTCAAATAGAAGATTCAGGAGTCTCAAATAGAGTGAGTGAGTGAGTGAATATGGTTTTACGCCGCTTTTAGCAATATTCCAGCAATATCACGGCGGGGGACACCAGAAATGGGTTTCACACATTGTACCCATGTCGGGAATCGAACCCGGGTCTTCGGCGTGACGAGCGAACGCTTTAACCACTAGGCTACCCGACCGCCCCTCTCAAATAGAGGATTTGGGAGTCTCAAATAGAGGATTCGGGAGTCTCAAATAGAAGATTCAGGAGTCTCACATAAAAGATTCAGGAGTCTCAAATAGAAGATTCAGGAGTCTCAAATAGAAGATTCAGGAGTCTCAAACAGAGATGGCATACTATTGGTTCTTGTGCCCGTCTGTCCTCCACAGATTATTCTAGTGTTGTTTAAACTTTATCAAATAATGCATTCGTAAAACGCGTATAGTGTGTTTCACTCTGTGGTGTCCATACAGTCTCTACAAGCATGACGTTGTTTGGAGTTCACACAAATACAAATGACTTTCTTGGCACCAGACGTCATCCCACAGCCTGTCATCGCCAATCAGTACGCAGTCTTGTATGCCCAAGGTATTGGACGGCTCGCCATCACGCCACATGGGATCTACAACCTCAGTATCATCCGTCCACATGAACTGTCCCTCCCGGGCAATGTCGTCCGCCCCCAGCCACACACCGCCTGAAACCATGGAAACAACAATCTCTCACGTCATGATATGTACAAACATATTCAACCAAGATGAACAAACACAAAGGGAAAAATCTGAGGATGCCAACATTACTCTTATATGCCTTATGCCTAAGGTTACTCTGAGCAGTGGGAGAGAGATACAATTTGTGTGTGCACACTCAAATTATACTTTTACATATAACTTGATTAAAGACATTTAAAAATTACTTAATACGGCACAAATTTAGATGGTAGGGGTCAGGTGGTTGCAAATTCTTTTCTTATCCAAGTCTACTTTGAACCAATTTATTCTCGGTATACTTTCTTGTGGCCCTCAGTTTAGTTATATTCCTATAATCTAATATTGTTTGGGTACAGGTGTTTGTTTTGTATTCACGTGGCACATAACTCAAACTTTAAAGTGTGCAAATATGTCCAAACTTAGTATAGGACTTACCCGACCCGTGAAGATCCGGGTTAGAATAGGTTCTTCAGCAACCCATTTTTGCAGTAAAAGGCGACAATGCTTGTCGTAAGAGGCGACTAACGGGATCGGGTGGTCTAGCTCGCTGGCATGTTATCGTATTCCAAATGCGTAGATATATGCTCATGATGTCAATCACTGGACTGTCTGGTCCAGACTCGATTATTTACCTCCCTACCACTGTCATATAGCTGGAATATTGCTGAGTGCGGCGTTAAACCAGAAACAAACAAACAAATAGGATTTACCTTAGCAACAGTGGGAATTGTTTACAGTTACAATGAATTTCTGTAAAAACTGCCTTTTGATATTTCTTACCTTTTTTCAATCAATTTTTACTGAATATTCCTTAATGTTAAAATCTAATATTGACTAAGAAGAACATGTAGTTGACTTCCGGTACGGTATGCATGTAAGCAACACGCGAATTATCGAGCTCCCGCTCAATCCACATTAATCCTGACTGAAAATGGCCACAAGCACAAGAAACCGAACTGAAACGATACACAGGGGAAAGCAACAACTCAAATCACGCTAACAGAAGAATTCAGCACGAACAAAAACAGAAATACGGCAGAAAAAGATACTTATACTTGACAATGACAGACAACCATGGCGGCCGCCATTGATACTGACACTACAGCTTCAGACTTGAAAACCTTTATAACCTCATCTTTGCGTGAACACAACACTAAAATCACCAACACAATAGACTCTATTAAAGATCATGAGGAGCATATCGGAAGATCCCCTCCGCTAAGTTTGTTTGATAGTTTTTTTAGTTAGTTTGTTGTTTACCGCCGCACTCAGCAATATTCCAGCTATATTAGTCTGTAAGTAATTGAGTCTGGACCAGACAATACAGTGATTGACAACATGAGCATCGATCCACGCAATTGGAATACGAAGACATGCATCAACCAAGTCAACGAGTCCGGTAAGTGGAATACACCTCAAACAGAATAGACTCCGAAACGAATTGCCTGTTCACAGTGCGAAAAGATGGAACGTGGCTTTCTAATACACCAAAATATTCGAGAAGGTAATAGACGTGGTGCTCCAGTGGAGAGAAAAAGTGTGCAAACCCTTGAAAACCATCGAAACCGACCACCCCATTGCTACTCTGAGGTGAGGGTACCAAGAAAGATAAAATTAACCAAGACGATCAAATAATAAGACACAGGTCGCTTCAGTTAACAGGATAAGTTTCCTCTCAAGATTGTTCGGATCTGTGTTCGAAAACATTCACTGGACAAAATGTTGTGTATAAGGTCCTATGTATATATAACTTACAGCTGCTATGTTATAAAATTGTATGCTATTTCTAACACTCGGCAACAAAGTATGGCTATACAAAATGAATTCTCCCTCAAGGTCTGTTTTCATTATTCCGGTTAGTGTATATATTTTGTATCACCTAACGGTGGATAGAACTATATTCATTCTTTATGTCAGCATTACTGTGTATCGAAATTCGAACTTTTTTGTCAACATTTACCATTTCTCCCACGGAAACGTGGATGTAAATATGAGTCACTCTAGATCTATTCCTATGTCATCAAGGACATGGCAAAGATATATTAAAGTTCTTATCACAAGTTTCTACCGCCTAATCTTATGCATATTTGAAGAATCAGAAAGGAAAAAACAATATCGATGAATTCGACAACGAATCGATATTAATTTGTGACGACTGGAATCTAGTCATCAATCCTTCAGTAGACCTAGAAAACTACCGTTACATATATAACCCACATAGAAGGAATAAGGTTTTGGAATACGTGGAAGATTTTGATTTACTTGACGTTTGGAGAGAAAGTAATAAAGAAAAAAGTAAATTCAGAGGGTGGAAAAGAAATCCGAGACAGCAAGCCATATTAGACTTTTCCTGGTCTCTAAAGATGTACTAAAGGTAGGGGCTATTTGAAGTTCAATACTTCTTTATTATTGAAGGATGATTTTGTAAAACGAGTGAAAGAAATTTTCAGGGAAACAAAATTGGACTAACTAAAAATACTGATAAAAACTAAACTATAAATGATTCCAATTTAGAATTGAAAGTTAGTGATTCGCTTCTGCTAGAAATCTTTTTAATGAAACATTTTATGATAAGAAAGAAAAAGAGATAACAAATAGATCTTTTGGAAACTCAAATCAGAAATTCGAAAATACTGTAAAAGAATCGACACTTAGATGGATTTCCAATAGAATTTTTAAATGTTTAAGAATTTATTTTAGGAATGATTTAGATATATGGATTATAGGTACATTAAATAAATGTTCTATAAAGATAAATTAGCAACACGAGGAGGAGTTATTTCTTCTTTTGCTAAAGGTAATAAAGAGGAACACTGGTTAAAAATCTGCGCCCTATATCCTTTTTAAACTCGTTGTATAAGATAATATCAAAAGACTCGAACTATCTTTACCTAAATTAATATAGGATAACCAGGCTGCATTCAATCCAGACCGAAGCATCAGTGATAATCTTTGGCTCCTATACGATATTATTTAAGAAACTAAGAGAATTAACAAGATATACTAATGCTTATAGACTTTGAAAATGCTTCTGATACAGTATCCAAAATCCAAAAAACAATAGTCTTAATGTGTTAATAAGATTCGGATTTGGCCCATACACGATAAAATGTCAATAAGATTAGAAATAGCAAAAAAATTAAGGGAATAGGCTTAAATAAGAAGACAACAAGCTAAACCAGTACGCAGACGACATTGAATTATTTCAAGACGGGACCCCGGAACTAGCCTCTATAGACAGACAGTCAGCAGTCTTTCATAAATTTTCTCAAAATGAACATAGATAAAACAAAGGTAATTTGGATAGGATCAATGGCAGCTAGCAAAAGAATTATGTCTGGATTCCCAGCTTTATTGGCACAATGGTCATTTCGAAGTTTTGGGTATCACACTAAATACTCATCTTGAGGATCTCTGGGTCATAAATACACGACAAAGACTAGAAACCAATAATAGACTATTAGCAAACTGGAGGAAGCGGTATTTAACCTTCATTGAAAAAATTACTGTCATTAAGTCACTGGCCTGATCCACACGAGCACATATATTTTCTTCTTTACCCAACCCTCCAAAACAACTCATTGATGGACTTTATAAAATATTCTCGTTGTTTAGCCTTAGCTTTCTTCCATCATCGTGCTCGCTCGTCACGCCGAAGGCCTGGGTTCGAATCTTCATTTGGGTGCAGTATGTGAAGCCCATTTATGTTGGTGTCCCCCGCCGTGATATTACGGAGTAATATCGGAGTCTCCATTACTGTATGAAAAGAATTCAATGACAGCCTCACCTGTGACCTTGTTGTTGTGATAAGTCCACGCCATCTTGTGTGACGTGTCAGCTTGAAACAGACGACCGCCATCTGATTCACATCTAGCTTTAGCGCCATCCCAAGACAGCTTCTGAGCAGACAACTTGTAGCAGAGGGGAATTGAGGGGATGTACTTGTAGCCGGCGTCTCCAGGACAGTTCACTGTAATATAGATACACAGACGTACATCGACATGTAGCAGAGAGGGTGGAGGGGATATACTTGTAGCCGGCGTCTCCAGGACAGTTCACTGTAATATAGATAAACAGACGCACATTGACATGTAGCAGAGAGGGTCGAGGGGATATACTTGTAGTCGGCGTCTCCAGGACAGTTCACTGTAATATAGATAAACAGACGCACATTGACATGTAGCAGAGAGGGTGGAGGGGATATACTTGTAGTCGGCGTCTCCAGGACAGCTGACTGTAATATAGATAAACAGACGCACATTGACATGTAGCAGAGAGGGTGGAGGGGATATACTTGTAGTCGGCGTCTCCAGGACAGTTGACTGTAATATAGATAAACAGACGCACATTGACATGTAGCAGAGAGGGTGGAGGGGATATACTTGTAGCCGGCGTATCCAGGACAGTTGACTGTAATATAGATACAGATACTACACCTTAAAAATACTGATAGTATGAGTGAGTGAGTATGGTTTTATGCCGCTTTTAACAATATTCCAGCAATATCATTTTGGGGATACCAGAAATGGGCTTTACACATTGTACCCATGTGGGGAATCGAACCCAGGCCTTCAGCGTGACGAGCGAACGCTATAACCACCGCCCCACTATTAATTTGAAAAATATGTACCTATATTGGCCTTGAAATACCGTGTATTGGGTAACTCAGTGAGACGCGAGTCCTCTAGTTCCATTATCTCGTCCAACAGAAAGCATCTGTTATCGGCAGTGTAGAAAAACGACAGACAGCTGTTGCCATAGTAACACTTGTATGCACATTCTGCTTGTGATGTCATCGTAATCGGAGTGACGTCATTAACTACCATACTGGATAAAGCATTGACAAGTTGGAAAACCCCTGCCATGGTAATGATGAAATGGCACAGGATGTATATATTGAAACACTTTCCGCTCCCTTCAGCACCGAGCGACGTCACACCTTCAAGTTCAGGAATTGTCACCGCTGCTGTTAACGCTGGGTTGTTTGGGCGAGCTCTGGTTAGCTGGAATAGCTCTGATGGTAGTGTAAAAGAACATTCACTCACTTCAGCACCGAGCGATATCACACCTACAAGTTCAGGAACTGTCACTCCTGCTGTTAACCGCTGGGTTGTTTGTCTGGTTAGCTGGAATAGCTCTGATGGTAGTGTAAAAGAACATTCACTCACTTCGATTCAGTTCGGGAAACAACTGAATATTGGTAAAAATGTCTCCCCGCACGACATCAACGGTGGCTATGTGAGTGTAGCGTGAATGAGCTTGCATCAACGGGGTGAGCACTAGCGTCTTCATGCAAGGTGTGGCACAGCCTGTGTTGGTATGAACGTGGTACTGAGGAGGGTCTTTTTCCGTCAGCTGTCATATATGCTGTCGTTGCGTTACCCTTAGTGACAATATTGAACCAGGTTCAGAAAGATATTGATTCAAATACTTTGATTTGATAGTTATATGATTCATAGACTGCTATCGATCCACGTGATCCACTCCTTGTTTTTTATGTAACTTTTTACACTTTTATCATACTGAAGATTAAACGGCTAATTGTACTTGCGATAGTCAGTATTGTAATGATGAGTCTTCTTTTGACAGAAGTTGGATGTAAACACGACAAGGAGTATTATGAATAACCTCTTTATTATACATGTATATACACGTTTCGGGGATATATCAGATGAACGACAGGTGAATATACATGCACGTGAAACCAGTGAGGGCATTAATGGACATGACATTTGTTATAGGAGAGTGGGTACACAGTAATGTGTTTATACAATAGATAAAATGAGGTGATACGTAGATTACATGTCCCGTGCGTTTTGGAGGAAAACTCCTTGATCACGATTGATGGATTTCTTGGTTCCTCTGATATGGATTGTTTCTTGGAGCATGCGCTTCCTCCATTTGTGAATGTTTGCACAGAGGAATTTAGTGTGTTGCCAGGAGATGGAGTTGTTGGGATTACTAATCATATGTCCTGATAGGGCTTTTTTCAGGACTTTATTGTGGATGGAGGACTTGTGTTCTTAAAGACGTATATCTGCAGGTTGGGAGGTTTCACTAATGAATGATTATACCCAATTTATGATTCTCAAAGTGTAAAGAAAGCGACGATACCCTTTTCATATCCAATAGAAATCTTTGCATGAAGCCGACAGTACGATTCCGACTATATAATGAGCATGTCTTTATGAATCACTATCCATCAGGTGTTCACGAAAAGGTGAGCGTATCATGCCCTATCGGTGGCACCCGTCACAAACACATGCAACGGCAAGTCAATTGTTCACCTGGGGAAAAAAACACGGGAACATATGTCTTCCGCATGTCTACCATAAACCTTTTTTGAAAGCTTTACTGAGTCCTTGAATGTTGTAACCTTGATCAAACAACTTCTAAGCAAGAGTCGTATCACAATCGGTTGTATCTCAAAAGTTGTGAAATGTAAACACCAAAGGCTGGAGCTGCTGGAATATTGCTCGATATGAATGGAAAGTCATACAGTCACACAGTCATGTGGAGAGTGTTTTGTCACTCTGAATCTTTATGCATCGATCTAAATATGAAACTGATGAGGTGATCACACTGGTCTCTTTTATTTCTAAATTAGTTGTGTCGACCAAACAGGTGAAACAAGTGTTGTACGAACACCTTATCCCGTGACAGTACTTTATCATGCTTGAATTGTGACGATGCACTTTATCATGCCTCAAACAGGGCGAGATACTTTATCGTGCCTAAAACAGAACGATTCGCTGTATCATGCATGAAATATGGCAAGGCATTCTATCTTGTGTGAACTATGATAAGGTATTCTATCACGCCCGAAATAGGACGAGGCACTTTATTCCGACTGAAATAGGACGAGACAATTTATTATGACTGAAATAGACGAGACACTTTATTATACCTGATATAGGACGAGACACTTTATTCTGACTGAAATAGGACGAGACACTTTATTATGAGTGAAATAGGACGAGACACTTTATTCTGACTGAAATAGGACGAGACACTTTATTATGCCTGGAATAGGACGAGATACTTTATTCTGACTGAAATAGGACGAGACACTTTATTGTGCCTGACATAGGACGAGACACTTTATTCTGACTGAAATAGGACGAGACACTTTATTATCCCTAAAATAGGACGAGACACTTTATTATGCATGAAATAGGACGAGGCACTTTATTGTGCCTGATATAGGACGAGACACTTTATTATGACTGAAATAGGACGAGACACTTTATTATGCCTTGAATAGGACGAGACACTTTATTCTGACTGAAATAGGACGAGACACTTTATTATCCCTAAAATAGGACGAGACACTTTATTATGACTAAAATAGGCGATAGTCGAGACACTTTATTATGACTGACATAGGACGAGACACTTTATTGTGCCTGACATAGGATGAGACACGTTATTATGACTGAAATAGGACGAGACACTTTATTATGACTGAAAAAGGACGAGACACTTTATTATGAATGAAATAGGACGAGACACTTTATTATGCCTGGAATAGAACGAGAGTCGAGACACTTTATTATGAGTGAAATAGGACGAGACACTTTATTATGACTGAAATAGGACGAGACACTTTATTCTGACGGAAATAGGACGAGACACTTGTTTCTGACTGAAATAGGACGAGACACTTTATTATGAGTGAAATAGGACGAGACACTTCATTATAACTGAAATAGGACGAGACACTTCATTATAACTGAAATAGGACGAGACACTTTATTATGAGTGAAATAGGACGAGACACTTCATTATAACTGAAATAGGACGAGACACTTGTTTCTGACTGAAATAGGACGAGACACTTTATTCTGACTGAAATAGGACGAGACACTTGTTTCTGACTGAAATAGGACGAGACACTTGTTTCTGACTGAAATAGGACGAGACACTTGTTTCTGACTGAAATAGGACGAGACACTTTATTATGAGTGAAATAGGACGAGACACTTCATTATAACTGAAATAGGACGAGACACTTCATTATAACTTAAATAGGACGAGACACTTTATTATGAGTGAAATAGGACGAGACACTTCATTATAACTGAAATAGGACGAGACACTTCATTATAACTGAAATAGGACGAGACACTTTATTATGAGTGAAATAGGACGAGACACTTTATGATGCCTGGAATACTACGAGACACTTTATGATGAGTGAAATAGGGCAGACCATTCCAATCTGTCTTTCCGATACAGGGTGTGCCCACCCATATGGTATCATCACTATTTACTAGTGATGCATAAACACATGCTTATGATATAGTCGGAATCGTATCATGGACTATCTGCTTTTAGTGGAGATTTCTTATTATTATAGGAATGTTTTTGGTTTCTTTTGTTGTCATTAAGAAACTGGAATTTTTAAACATGGCTATTCTAATAATGCTGGTGTGCTAGAATCCATCTCTATGTGTAATCATTGGGATAGCGATGTATATAAATGAGGGTGTAATCAATGTTGTTTGTTTGTTGTTTAACGCCGCTACGTGACGGCGGTCTGTAAATAGTCGAGTCTGGACCAGACAAACCAGGGATTAATATCACGAGCACCGATCCACGCAATTGGGATCGATGACATGCATCAACCATGTCAGCGAGTCTAACCACTCGATCCCGTTAGTCGCCTCTTACGACAAGCATGGTCACCTTTTACGGCAAGCATTGGTTGTTGAAGACTTATTCTAGCCCGGATCTTCACGGGTCGTGTAGTTAATGATCTTACGTTAAACATTCATAAATAAAACATCAAAATTGAAACATTGTTGACAAAGATGTTAATCTTTGGGTGTGTAAACAGCGATCTGTCGATAGTATACTCATCGATCGATATATCAATGGCTGCCGCTACCTCATTAGAATTGTATAAAAATGAGAACTCAATTTCAGAACACAAACCAGAAAGTAATACAATCACTACCTACTGTGTCAGGGCAACACAATCATCGGTCATAAAAATGAGCAGTCTCTAAGATCCTCTCGTTTTGTGGAATGCCGACTCGTCTGCAGCTAAAAACGGAGGTATTCAGACATATTTCAGAATGGTTCAGGTTGTGACAGCAGACACATTTCCACCAGTAAAACATCACGTTAATGGTGAAGTTAAAAAGAAATTATACATCGGGATTACCCCCTTGCTTCATACAATAGCACAATAGCACCGTCTCCAGGAACAACTATTTTGGCAGCAATGGGCTGCCATGTCGAAGGTTTGGAGAAATGGTCATTCTGAAGATGTATTGCTGTTGCTGGGGAGTTATTTCAAACCAACTGTTGCATTATTACGAATTCAAAATAACTGAAACGCTTTGATTAGTTGAGAACAAATTATTTCAGCATCTTTTGTCACTGGAAGATCTCATATTGATTTCCAAGAAATTACTTTGTTGAGTCGAAGCAGTGCAAATATGCAACAGGTTCCAATGCAGTATACTGTCTTTGGAGGGATATTTCATCGATTCTTTTTAAAAAGCTACATATGTATGTATTTTGTAACCATTATTTTGAAGTAGTCAGTGAGTGAGTGAGTGATGTATACTATCTTTGGAGGGATATTTCATCAATTCTTTTTAAAAAGCTACAAATGTATGTATTGTGTAACCATTATTTTGAAGTTGTGAGTGAGTGAGTGAGTGAGTGAGTGAGTGAGTATGGTTTCACGCCGCTTTTAGTAATACTCTACCAATATCACTGCGGAAATGTGCTTCAGACATTGTACCGATGTGGGGAATCGAACCCGGGTCTTCGGCGTGACGAT